GATACCATTCCCTGATGCATGATTCAAATGTAAAATATTTTCTAAAATCATTGTAATCAATTATTTCTGTTAGAGAAGTAACTGTCTTTAATCTTATCTGAGTAGTTGTTTTCAAGTTTTACTCCTCTCTGCTTTCAGAATTAATTGCTTGAATTTCAGAGAGCATTTGTTGATTTCTTTTTATTTTTTAAAGAAATCAAAATTTTCCCGGATTTCACATTATTATCAACTAAACAACTTTGAAAATACCACTTCATTTTTAGAAACATTTTATACATGTGACTATGGGAACTTTACTTTCCTAACTGTATTTCTTTGACTGTTTATGGGAATGCAGGAATCATATAAAAAATTATGAATTTCTCTTCAAATGACCAGTTCCTTAGAGAAAGCATTGGAAAGGGCAAGGGGGAAGATAGTCTCAGTTTGTCATCTTTATTTTTCACTTGTTTGGAGTGCACTGTTCTGACCGTTTAGCACATAGCACATTGTTGTTTCGCATCAGCATCTAGCCAAGTATCACCCTCCATGAGTCAAGTTTTACTTCTTTGCTTTCTGTATTACTTCGGTTCAGTTCTGAATTGTGTGCCAGAAATATATTCAAGTTTTATTAGCATTCATGGTATGTGGTTCTGTCCTTTTCAGAAAGAAAGTTATGTGAAGGTTGTAATTATATCTTTCCATCTTATGTCTGTTTTCATTGGTGAGACTAATAGAGATCTCTTAGCTTGAGCAGAAGTTGTTCTGAGTTTGAGGTTTCACTCTGATCTGCAGAGGCTGCATCTCAAGTTTGATTAACACTGAGGAAACCCCTGACTGTTGTTCTTACTAGGGGTCAATTCCATTATCACCAATTCTTCTTCCTGCCTCAAAATTTAAAATTTTTTTTTTCCAGTTGTCCTGAACCCACAACATAGAGTGCACTTAAGTAAAAGCACCAAGTCTCTCAGTTTGTTTCACTTGTTAGGGAGTATGGTGGGCTCTGAAGAACATGTTTACTTTGCTTATAGTAGTTGATTTTGCTAGTTAGAAATACCATATTAATAAATCTGTGCTCATATTCTCCTGGGTAAACACCACTTGATTAGCTGGTATGTATGTTGCTGTGTTCCATTAGCAGCTTTTCTCTGCGGAGCAACTAATGTGCATTTCTTCTCAGTACTCTCCTGAAAATCAGGAAAACATGAAACTTCCCCAAACCTAATTTATTTGACGTCTTCCTTCAGAAAATTTTGGTTGAAATAAACTCAAAGGATTAATATAAGTTTCGGGGAAGAGTGGATAAAGGAAAGAGAGAGAAAATGGAAAGAATGGAGCGGCAGACAGAATGCTTAGAATTATTTGTGTTTTCCTGTTGGTGAGATCACTGACAGACAAAACTGGATGATAATGGTGATTTGCAGAGGTGGATTTAACATCCTGTGGAAAAAAAAAATCACTCTGGCATGCCCTTTTCTTGACTCAGAGCATGGTCTGAGTTTGTACCATTTTCCTGAGTATGTTTTACTGCATCATACTCTTTTAAAGCCTGGTTTCTAAAACTGAGTCATATTTCCCTCAAATACTGGCAAGGCCAATAGGTAGTGGTGAGATTTTACTTGCACAAAATTGGTCCAAAGTAGATGCAGTCTTGCACCCCACAATGACTTAGGGAATTTGTTTAGAATTTATGAATTTTGTTTGATACTGAGAATCATATTTTCTTGTGTCAGATTGTGAAGTCCAGAATCTCAAGACTTCTTTGCGGTGTAGAAAGGTTGAATATTGGCTGAAGGAAGTACAGCATTATTTCTGTTGTCAACCTCACTTTCCCCAAGCTTATGTCTTATCTCCCCCTTACTCCTTTCAGCCAGCGTAGCAAGCTGTGCGGTGAGTCTGGGAATTGTGCTGGGAGCGATCAGCTGAGCTGTCCTCTGTGGATGCTCACTCTCCTGAGGAACATTATCAGCCCATCTACCTCTTCCAGTAAAAAGCAGTCTCCTCTCCTGTACTGGAAGTGAGACAACTGCCCTTATATAGAAAGACCATGAAACTCAGGTGACCAACAGTGGATTCTTTGTGGTTTGTTTAGCTTTTGTTTTATGCATAGATGCTTATCTCTTTCCTCTATAATAAAGATTATGGAAAAGTGCTGCTAACAGCAACAGGGATAAAGAAGAAAAAAGAGAAATGATCTAATAAAGCAGTGACATCCCACAACCATCTGTGTTAAATGCTGTGAAAGGGCAAGTCACAAGGACTAATTCCTAACATGTATGTTCCTGAAGCAGTAAATGCTGGGATATATATGTTTTGTTTGGAATAATTTCAGGAAATACTAATAATTGGGCAATTAATAAAGAAGAATTCCAGTGTAATTAGGCTAAATGTCTTTATGCAAACCTTCTTTCCATCAGATAAACCAACAGCCACAAAAGAAAAATCCCCAGTTTGGTGTCAGGGCTGTAGTAATTGGACTAAAAATGAGGAGGCATCTCCAAAAAATCCTTGTATCAAAACACAAGAATAGAATCAGGGTACTGATGCAAGTCGTGATGTTTTGAATATTGCTTGGAGTTCTGAAAAGTTTCTTTGAAGAAAGGGTGGTGATCTGTGGAAACACCTTCCTAAGACCCAGAACTTTAGCATACCACCTCCAGTCTCCAAACTCTAGCTGTGTTTGAAGGTGCCTGCACAGTGCTTTGTTTAGACTTGCTGATTTCTGAAAAAGAGAGCTCCTATTTCACTAGCTTCACTTAAATTTTCCTGCATCACCAGATTGTAGAAAATGCAGAGAAAAGAATGAGTAAGGAGCATACAGAGGTAAGTTTCTAATTATGTGGGGAAATGAAATTACCAAGGGATAAGGAAATGTAAAACTCCATTCTGGATTACAGTTAACAAGACTCCTTGGTTACTGATTACTTAGGGCTCATCATCTAGTTTTAAATGTTCCTCCTGGAACATTTATAGAATCACAGAATGGTTTGGGTTGCAAGGGACCTTAAGGATCATCTAGTTGCTCTCCCCCTCTGTGGGGAGGGACATCTTCCAGTAGACCAGGTTGCTCAGAGCCCCATCCAGCCTGAAACTCTGAACCAGTCAGGGCTTGGCCACTTGCCTAGTCTGTAGTCTTGTAAAAGAATCCTGTTTCCATTCAACACTGACATAGTATTTGTGACTTAACTGGAGGTTTGTACCTTCTAATAATGAGAATACTCCAGATTCTCTTCTGAACATCTCACCTTCCTGTCCTAGTGGTCAGTTGGGGTTTTTTGTAGTAGCTTTAACAACTTTTCCAGAACCATGTGTCACAGTATAATTGTCCAGTGAGATAGTGCATATTATAAAGGTTGTTAATGTGTGGGAGGTTTTGGCCTCTGCCCTTTGGTGGAGGCAGAGATGTTGGAAATCTTAAGTGTTGCACTGCCATTAGAAGAGCCAGGGTGCCTTCCTCCTTCTCCTTACCATGTAAATCTTAGATCTTCTTTTGCCAAGATGACTCATTCTGGTGAGGTTTGACAAAAGAAATTATGTATTTGGTAATCTAGATGTGATATTATTCTCTTTGTCTTTTATAGTGGGGACAAAAAAAAAAGTTCTTTTAGGGAGATGGAAGCCCCTCTGATATTCTATGCATTATAGGTCTTGCCTCTATGTATCCAAGCAGAGTTGTGTTCTTACATACACATAGATAAATTAGGAAAGGGGAAAAAAATCTAAGTATTAGAAAAGACAAAAGCGAAGAGTTGAAATTCAAGTGGCCAATTTCAGACAAATGAAGGTAAGAAAGTGAAAGTACACCCACTCTTTCAAGAAAGATGTGTAAATTATGCTAAGTAGGATATCTTCTAGAAGAACTAAGAAGGTGCTGTGTATAAAAAGTGTATATGCAAGCCTGTGTGTAAGAAGCAAGACTTTGCAGTGAATCATTGGGTTTGGGAAGCCTGAGAGAATGAGAACCATCCAGGATGACACAGATATTGTGAAGAGACTATTTCCTCAGTTTTCACCATGCCAAATGCTGGGGCCTGTCTAAAAAAATGCAGCTATTTCTAGAAAGTACATTAAAATAAGCTGTTATGTTCACAGGCAGTGGTTCAGTCAGAAGAGCTGGAGGAATTTAAAAGTGAAAGCTGATGCTAAGATTGTTTATTGAAATTTTGAGGTCTTGGACAGGGAAGGGTAGCAAGAATTGTCTTCCAAAGCAATGCACTCAGGTCTACTGAGAATAAATGGCATTCATCTTACCCAGGAGTATCAGATATTACCTACCCAAACTTATTAAAGTAACTGGATCACTGATCAGTCTGTCAGTTTGTGTATTATGGAAGAAATAAGCCTGAGCTAGAGGAAGCAAAATGATCTTGTATTTTTGAGTAAATCTTGTTGAACTAATCTTGTTCTTTAGCATGTGGTAGTGGTAATGGTTTACAGGAATATGCTTCTGAAATGTTGTTTTTATGAGTAACTCTAGAAATTTTAACTCTTTTAATACATCCAAATAAAAAATCTGTATAAGGTGAACTGGGATTGATTTTTGCTTTGTATAGACTGTTAGTAAGTTCCCAGTGAGCATAATGAACATCAATTTTGAAAATCATGCCTGACCTCCTGTCTTTTCAGAATTGAATAGAATCTTTCTTTCTAGAAACAAAATAAAAAGTGGAGGCATTGTGTACTGCAAAGAATACTTTATGTGTAAAATCATTATATAATGGGAAATTACAAGTGACAGATGAAATTTTGTTCAGAAGTAATGAAACTGTGAATTAGAAACATGAGTGAATTTTTCTAAAATATGCTAAGCTTTCTTCTGTATATTTTTACAAGATATTGGTGGTATGGTTAAGGCACTTTATCTAAATACACTTTGTTTTTCTGGTAAAACACGCTGATCTTTGACTTTTACAGGGAAAACGTGAAGGGAATTTTTTATCACAGTGATATGACATATTTTAATACTTAATTGAAACTTAAATATATTTTTAGAAAATAAAAGGTTTTTTTAAACTCTATAGGCTTGCTGATGCATGGGAAGATGATATGGGAGTTCATCCTTTAAAGTTTCCATCAGAAACATGTTTGGAACTGTTGTTGATTCTGGGTTTGAGTACCACATCTCTGCCACCTTCACTTCGATGCATGAACTCTTTTCAGGTAAGGAGCAGCTTCTGTTTCAGTATAAAGGTGTTATTTTTGGAAAAAGACAGATCCTTGGGGGCCATAAACCCTTTCAGGGGGTTTGTCTTCTGTAGTTGCATGACTCTCTGTTATATTAAAATGTAGACCAAGGTGGAAAATACCATTGGATTTTTAATCAGTTCATTACGGTTTAAAGTGATGAAATTTAAAGAAATTTCATCAAACTTAGGCTACAGTAGCTGGAATCATTATAAAAATCTTGTGGTCTTAAAAAATAAAATTCTCAGCAACAAAATAAAGGTTTTCAGCGGTGAAAACATTCTTCTGTGTGTTACTTTGGAAGTTCTCAACAATCATAGAAATTTTCCAAAGGAAACATTGTTGCTGGCATGTTAAATTGTGATTTTTATTTCTTTTGTAATGTGGTTGGAGAGTATGATTTTTACAAATGCAATAGAGACAACTGAATTCATGATGATATGACATAGCAACTTAGCCTTTTTATGATGCTTCTGTCTTCCCTTGTAGTTACATAGTCTGTAGGTTGAGTATTGATGCAAATCTGAAGTAAGCAGCTGTTGAGCAGGAAGTGTACTGAGTCTGTGTTTTTTATGGCAGCTATGAAAGCATCATCATCTTAGTGGGACTGAGTGTCCTTAACAGTTTCTAATGTGAAATCAGGTAGCCTCTATTTGTCCATATTTCCTGTTTGTACTTAAGACACATCAAATTAGTGTTCCTGAGTTATTTTTACTCAAAAGTAGTCTTTTTGTAGATTTTGAAGCAAAAAAAAAAAGGTTATAAAACAATATCAAGTAATTGACTTTAAGAGAGTTATACTGATGTACAGCTACTGAAAACTCCTGTTTTAGGAATAGGTACCTGCATTGTTTCTCACTTTGCATCTTGGGTGCTTGGAAACAGGGAATCTGTACGTGGTGATCACTTGGGTAAAGCAGCAGCTGCTGATTGCTTCAATGTTATTAAAATACACAAGGTCAGAATTGTTACTGGGTTGTACATTCAGAGGCCATAAAACTGAAGAATCTCCTGGATGCCAATAGATCACAATAATTATAAATTTCAAGGATTGGCCAGCAGTAGTAATCCATGCAGTTGAGTAGTCCATGTTTCCTATTAAGAAGTGAACATTTTGGTTGTCTAATCCAAGAGGATGTATTCCTTGTCTCTCTGTGGTAAAGTCTTCCCTGCTTTACCCATGACAGGTTAAGTAGGAGTCTCCTGTATGCCGAGGCTCTATGTCCTGTATTGTTTCTGTGCATACTGAGTCCCATGTTGTGTATTTGGGATTCCCTTTGATTTGTGTATGGGGTAGAGGTAGGAAGTGATAGATGTCTGTCAGGTGGTGTTTTTACCTCTGAGTACACAAAACGTCACACTTTTCTTTTCTCCATGGCTAACTTTGGATGATTGTGCTCAGCTGCTCCTGGGTAATTTTAGCTCTGTGAGGCTACCTCTGTAAACAAACCACTGCCCTAGAGGCACATGGTGCAGGTCCTGGAAGCATAGGGTGATGTCAGCTGTGGGGTGAGACATCCCCATGCATCCCCTGGAGTCCCTCTGACCGTGGCCTTTCTACCCCAGATTTCTGTGGAACAGATGAAAGCAAACAGTACTGTGCTAAGCTCATTTACTGAGCACTGGCCTGTACAGATCGTGGTTTTCCTGCCTGTATGCCAAAGCTGGCAATGTGACAATGTCCTGTCTTTCACAGCAACACACTTTGCAGTTTTTGAAAAGCCCAAGTTCAGAAACCTGCTCTGCTAAGATAATGTTCTATTTTGCCAAGTGGGAGGAAGGGAAAATGGCTTTTTTGATAAAATTCTGTGACTCCAGCTGTCACTCTCCTTGGCAGACAGTCAATATCACCAAGTGTTTGTCCTAGAGGGCAAACACTGTCCAGTAACATATTGTTTTATTTATTTTTATCTTTATAAACCTTGTTTGGATCTCAGTTAGTGAATCCATGAAGTAGAATCAAAGTTTGCCTAGGTTTTCCCTGATGCTTTATAATGGTCTGCCAGCCTTATAATTTTGGGGATTTTTTTCTTGGCTTGCTTCTTCATGTTCAGCAAATTCTAGAATTACAGATCCTAGTTTTTCTGTATTTTGCTTGGAAAAAGCTGGCAAGATCTGAAGAGAGCTTGAATAATGATACTAAATTGTGCTGTTGCCTGGGCATAAGATCATGCTGCATCCAAAATAGTGAAGATTGTGAGCCAAAAAGGGAATAATAAAAGGGCACTAATTGAAAACTGATATTTCATGTATCTTAATGGAGTAATGGCAAAATGACAAAACTAGTTATGCTTTATTTTGTGGTAGACCTTAATCTGGCAGTTGTATAGAAAAATTTAAAACATTTTAATTCTATATTACAATGAAACTTGTATTTGAACTGAAAATAATTGCGGAGTTCCCTGTTGTGTATGCAGTGGAACAGCGTCTGTTTTGTTCAGCAGGGGCCAGGGTCTTGCAACTGTATGCTGGAGGAATTAGGAGAAAACAACCCCAGAAACTGCCAGAGTTTTCTCCTTTCATTAATATGTGTTTCCACCATTGGACACATGGTGAGGAGTTAAATGGACCACTGCTTTCTACTGGTGCTTTTCTTTATGTTTTCACACAGTATTTGGAAATGTATCTAACAGGCAGCTCTAATGTGATGATCTAAAAGTTACAGTTCAACTCCTGATACCCTGTCAGGATGGCTTTTAAAATGCAGGTTTTTTAAATTAGATAACAAAAAAAGATCTCGTTGACACCCATGTTTTTTGAGAATGTGTTTACCCTTTCTCCCAATTATATTACAGCGCCACAATGTTGACAAGCCAAAATGTTAGTTGGTATGCATCTGCATTGGTTGATGCTTAGGCTGTAAAAAGCACACAAAGGAAATCTGCTTAGTTGCTAATAATCTGTAATAAACTCTGTTCTGCCTTGTGCTCTGGAAGTACTCTCTGGGACTAGCTTAGCAGACTATATCAGTGCTGAGACATAAATTACATTTTATTTTCCATTGGTGTGCTACTGCTTAGTAACATAATATTTGAAATCACTTTTCAATTCAGTTTTGACCCTGTAAAGATCTTTCAGTGTGATTTATGTTGCTAGAGGAGCCTGGAAGAGAAGAGCAGCAGCAGACTGTGCTACAAAGCTCTGCTGAGTTTAAGGTGCTCACTACAGACAGCCTGTAAGTTTCCCAGGCTGTTGAGCCTAGGTACTCGATTTTCTTTGGCTCATCTCTCATTTCACCAGAATAATTGCAGTGACATTTTTTTGGTGGATGATAGAGAGTTAAATCTTAGGAAGCTTGAGCCTGTAAACTCTGAAGGACTGTTTCTTGCTGGTAGATGGCAGCTCCTGGGTTTACTGGAGAGCACGGTTTTTCAGCCCTGACTTGTACCTTCCCAGGCTTGTAATCCCTCACCCATACTAAGGATGTCTTGGATCAAGGTAATAGGATTGACTGAGGCACTTGATACTTACCCTGAAGCAATGAGAAAATCAGTAAGAAGGGAGAGAGGAGTTTGCTGCTAGAAAAGATTATTTTTTTTCGTTTGCTTTTGCTCTGAGTGTTGTTTTGCTGCTTTCTTTTCAGCTCCATTACACTGCACAGAAAGCTGTGTTACCTTATTACAAACTCAATCTATATGGCTGTCCACCCACCTGAGCTGTCAGCCCTCTGCTTTAGGAATGGTTGAGCTTTACTTTGTGTATTATTCTTAATACTTGCAAACACTTGTAGCTAGCACCCACTTGAGTTATCATGTACTTTATCACAGAACTGCTCAGCTGCTTCTTCTCAGCATGGTCTCAGAGGCTGTGTTGGTATTTCAGAGCCTACAGCACAGAACAGTTAACACAGGGAGATGCTTTAAAGTGACAAGTAATCTCTGCTGTGTTTTTCTAACCTTATCTCGTCTTTCTCTGAATTCAAGCACAGTGAACAGAAAATGTCCTGGATATTGAATTCTTATGATGATGTATGGGGCTGTTGGGCACATTTTCTCTCACTGCTGTTGTTGTGGGAAACCAGACATTTTACTTGCCCTATCAAGGCACTATTCATAAGGCCACAGACCATAAACAACAGTTTCCAGAGTTAAACGGATCATGGTTTTATTTTTACTTTTACAGTTGCGTCAAATTGAGGGAAGATTGTGATTAAGAACTGCTGAGCTGTTTCAAAATTCTGTTTCAAATAGCTCTTGATAGTTTTTGGAGCTGCATCCAGTGCCCCTGGTAGCTTTCAGCACACTGTCTGCTTTGGTTTAGAGAAGTGAAGCCACTGTTTAAGAAAAAATAAACTGTTTATTCTACCATTGCAGTAAGAATCCCTAGTGTTGTCTCTGAAGGAAAAACTTATTTGCTATTATTTTGCTTTCAAAAAAGAAGGAAAACCCAAGGTTTCTGATAGAACAACCTGTCAATTCTCTGTCATTTAGTCTCTTGATACAGTGCAGGAAACTTGCTAAAGGCAAGATGGTTTAGACATACAGAATATCAGTTGCTCAGATAATATAAGAATGAATAAATACAGTATTCATTATAGTTTAGCGGCTCTAGTATATGAATATCAAAAGGGTCATGGAAAACAAAATATACAATTACTGCTGTCTCTCAGGTCTATGCTGGGTCCAAACTAAAGTGTCCCTTGATATTTGGTGGTTTTTAATATCAATACTTTTATGTTTTATGTGTCACTATATATATGAAAAGCAATTTCAAAATCATTTATTGCAAGAAGTTAGCTGAAGATAACAGATGCATCTGTGTCTTTTGACAATCCTTTTTGAAGCTAACAGCTGAATAAAATTTACAAGAATCTGTTCAGCTTTTCCATTTGTTCTGGACATTTGGAGCTAGAGGAAATGCATGTATTCTTTTAAGCTGGATTCCACTCCTTTGGAGCACTGTCAAACAGCAGCAAAGAAGGATAAAAATACAATAAAAGAAAATATTAGCAGTGAAGAAATGGCTTTCAAAATATT